CGCGCGGGGGGGCGTGCGGCTCTCTCCAAGACTACCTTGTACATGAGAACAAAAACTTCTCCCTCCTGTCAAAAAGCATCCAGGTGCTTTAGTTTCATTTAGGCAGGCAAAACCCTGTTTCCCTGAATGAGAGGAAAGATGACAATTGCAATTAGGATGATGCCAACACCACATTGCTGTATCAGATTCCAGGAGTACTCTGCCAGCATGCTGATGAAGTGTGAGGTCTAGTTTTCTACTTAAGACTTGAATTTGGATATAAATTCAGCTCTCTCCTGCTTCTCTCTCTCTTCCATCAATTGCAATGTCAAGTGCCTCCATTAAAGAAAAAAAAGTGTAATTAATGTGCTCCCTTCTATAAAGAGCTACCTCAATACCTAGTAACACTGAATTACACAATGAATCTTCTTTTCATAAAAGCTTCAATTAACGAGTCTTCTCAGTGATGGCAAAAACCAGCCTTTAAAAGGTTGGTTACCTGGATTTCTCTCCACTTTGCTCAACGGGAGGAGACTCGCATTGGCAACGGGAGGTATGTAAACAAGCCAAATGGCTAGCATAGGGAGCCTGATGAGCCCTAGCCATACGTATTTTTAAATACAAGATTTGGCCTCATTTTTTTCCAAATAGAGCTTCTAACATCAGTGTGCTTCCCAAGAGCCTGCACTCCTTACTAATTTTCTAGAGAGACTGACTGCAGTAGCACAGCACCAGTACTCTATGGCTAAGATTCTCCACCATGCTACATTTAATACTAATACCCTGTCTCCAAACCTGTCCTGTAGCAAGTGGTAAAACCTTTACACATTAGATATCACTCTAGCCACAGCCAGGCCTCAGTCAAATGCACAGATGTAGTTTATTTGTTTTCAAACAATGAAGGACTTGTCAAATTAGATTTTTTTTTTGATTTTGTATTACTGGCACCAAGGCTTGTCTCTCACCCACTTGAATTTCCATTCTCAAAGGCTTCGAAGCTTGCATTTGCTTAAGACAGCAATAGGAAGGGTCTGCACTGCAAGTCTGTATTAAGACACTTCAGGGGACCATGTTTCTCCCCACGCCCATCCCTCAAGTCTCAGAAGTGTTTGTATTCTCCACAGCCTACATGACATGTGATACCAAATCTTGGTTAAGTAAACTCAGTCTGGTTGAGGAATTTAAGACAACTCTATGTTTGCTTATACAGTACATGAGTGAACAGAGGAAAAGAAGCAGGACAACCAGTGAGTGAGTTTACAGACCATCATTTCCAGGTATGCCTGCCTCACAGTATCCTATTTACATAAATTACAGAAATTTCATATATATTTTTCTCTGAAGCCCAATTAGACAAATATCTACCTATATATAATATATAAAAAATACAGAGATTTGACTCTTCTTTTTGAAGTAAAATGTACATGATCCAACTGTGAGCAGGAGGTAATCCTGAAAACTCAGGTCTTATGTTACTGAAGTTAACACTGCACACAACGCTGTCAAGTGTAGCTCTTTCTCCCCACCCCACAAAAAGTCCCGCCCCACCCCATCCATCCAAAAGAAAAGCCAAAAAAACCTTTTAACATGTTCTCATGAAAAAAAAAAAAAACCCCAAAAAACAAATTTCAAGTAAGGATGAAGATGGGTTTTCACCATTTCAGTTCTGTGACTTCAATCAGTAGCAACACAAGTGAAGCCTGTGCAATGGCAGCTGTGCTTCCTCTTTCAAAAGGAAAAAAAAAAGAAAAAAAAAAAAAAAAGAGACCACCCAGACAGCTCCCCCACCTCTTTACAAAGACCATCTTTGGGGTTTTGTTTTCTTTTTCTTTAAATATCACTAACAGTTCTTAAAAAAAAAGAGAAAAAATAATAATATTTTTAGACAACAAAAGGGAAAAATCCTTCCCCGAGAAAAGTCTTCCCAGCAACGGGGAGAAACCTCCCATTTTTCCTTTGTTCATTTACAGTATGTTTCATGGAGAACAGGGCCCAAGTCCAACGGTGCTGTCCGCTGAAGGAGGGTCATGAAAAGCCAGGGACTAAACTTTGCTCTTGGCAGATTAGAGAGTCTTTAATAAAGAGTAATATGTGCAAAAAAAATTTAAATAGATCATCCCAAGCGTCCAGGGTTAATGTTGTCAGAAGAAAACGCTTGCTTCCGATTTCACTTTTTACCTACGCCCCCACCCCATCCCTGCTGAAATTTCATTTAAGTACCAGAGGTTAAAAAAAAAAAGTGATGTTTGGGAGATTACCACAAAGAAAAATGAGAGGTGCCATCAGTTACCTCAGTGTCCTTCCTCCATCCCAGTGCCTGCTTAAAGACATGTATGCAGCAGCAAAAATAAAAAAAGAAAGAAAATGTGTAAGAAAAATCCCCTTCTCTCCATGAAAACAAAGCATTGCTTCTAGCTTTTTCTGAAGGAGGAGGACTCGATTCCTAACAGGTGGAATGGGTGTTTGGCTCCTTCTGTTTGTAAGGAGGGGGGATGAGACTATCTGGCTTCTCCCAGTTGCTTTCTGGCAAGTTTGTGGTGTTCTTTTCCTCTCTGGTCACATTATAGCTGGAAGCCTTCCATGGGGGCCTCAGGTTGCTGGAAAATGAATTGCTGCTGGTTCTCGTCTACCTGGGGAGCCAGGGCAGCATCGTCGTCCTCTACTCCAAAGTAGTGCTCGATCAGGTCAAAGGCCTTCTGGTAGATCTCCTGGTTCTCATGGCTCTGCAGAAATTCAATCTTATCCAAGCCTGGGGGGTGGGGGAAGAGCAAGAGGGGGGAGAGAGAGAGAGAGAGA